TAGGAATTCATGTGAGAATGTCATGCCTGACTGGGGTCGTAGAAGAGGTGATGTAACAGAACTAAGAGAAAAACATCAAGAAGCTGAGCATGTACCCTGAAAATTACAAATAACCCAAATCCCTTAACAGTATCATGAGTCTGCTCCTAACACAGATGTCAAATTTTACTCTATATATACTAAGTTGAGCTCTTATATACTTGAAGAAGAAAGGTATCTGACCTAAAAACTCCAAGTCCACCAACGCTGAAGCCACATCACTGGAAATTCAATTTTACTGGGCTAGCTTTCATAATGCTATTCAAGTCGAGTGTGAGAAAAGGCAGAGTTCCTGGATCAGTGGCTTCTAGCAGATAGGGCTAAACAAGGCAGTTGCAAAGAGCAACAGGTTCTTTCAACAGTGGATACGTAGTTGCAAGCCAAAGCATAGACAATCAAATACCTAGTTGCAAACCAAAGCACAGACAATCAGGTAAGTGCAGAAAGGACTCGTGATTAAATATTAGTCGTTTCAGGCTCATCCACAAATATCAAACAATTAGCATCAACAGTATCTTTATCTTCCAACTCCAACAATGTTTTAATAATGTAGCTTATTATAGTTGAATGTGGAGGTACTTTTTAGCAAAATGAATCCCTCTCTAAATTCAAGTAATAGAACTGTTACACATTATGGAAAAAAAGAAGTCAGCCATAGAAAAACAAATATCATGAGCAATATATTCTGCACATTTTGTCTTGTGTTGTACATATGTGTCTTGTATCTTTTAACTGAGAGGAGGGAAAATCAAAGTCTTTTACTAATTCCCCCAAGAATCCTGGAGAGAAACCTGTGAACAGCAGGAATATAAGTGGTCCATTCAAAAACAGACTGAAGGAAAAAGAAAAGCTTGATTAGTATAATTTTTTTTAATGTACAGTAACTTCAAGGAGAACTCATATCACACTAAAAACAGTATTTTTACCTTCTCAATCATAAAATACATACACTAACAAAAATTTAATATTCAAGCCTTAAAAAGTTACATAACACCTTCATATTCACTGATTTACATTACTCACTGGGCATACCTACACCCATATCACTGATGATAAGCTTTTGTTTGAAGCCAATTTTTTCCAACCAAGGAGGTTCAGACTATGCTCAAATCTTTAAGACAGAGAAAACCCCTACAATTGGGCAAACAAGATAAATGTTTAAAACATGGAACGGGCTAAGCTCAAAAAGGTTTTCCTATTTAAAAGATTATTCCAAAAATCTCACTTCAAAGAAAAAAGATACCTAATTTTTTCATGCTTCCAATTCTACTTTGAGTAATATTTTACTTTGAAGTTTGAGAGCCTTATAGCTAAAAGATTCTCAAATTATTCTGCCTGAAAACCAGGTGACTGCATTTATTCATTTGCCTCAATCAGATTATATAATCAGATTTTCCAAAACCTTGAAAGATGTGATTCAAACACAACCATCACAAAAGTACAAATATGCACTAGTATGTTTTCTCCCGAGTACATCTGAAAAATCTACTCTTCTCCTGAGTATGCTGAACAATCTACTCTTCAGGTGGATCATTTACAAAATAAGAACATAATTCCCTGAATCAGTAAAGTTAACTTTATTTTCATGAAAGGATGACAATGAAATTCCACTTACACTATCACAATTTACATTTTCCTGCAATTCATGCAGCTTTCTTCAATCCACAATCTACAAACCCCAACCACACACAAATTTGATGTTAGACGGATATTTTAACGTTTAGTTCTCATCTCAACACTCACTGTTGCTACAGTCTCTCATTCCCACTGTTCACTGTGTTACCTGGAGAACAAAGGACTAAAGAAGCCAAAAAGAACTAGATCAAATGATGAGGCCAGTTTTCAGGGTAACGCATAATAACATCAGCTAATCAAAAACTGGAGTATTTCTACCATTTAATCCTTCAAAACAATAACCTCCTGTTTTCCCTCACTCTCCTTCCCAATAACTTGACAGAAGTCTGGGGAAGGTTGGATCTCGAGCCGAAAACCTCCACAAACGTGAAAGCAAATGGAAATCCTAGCACAGTCACGTGACTGACTAAAAATCCCAGAACTCTGTAAACAACCTTTGTTCTCAATGCAAAAATCATTTCTGTACTTTAAACCTCAATTGAGCTCCTCCAATAATGGGTCCTACTTTACCAAGTTATTAGTTCTATTAATAATTATTTGAAAATTCATTCTTCTCGATGATTCAAATACATCTAACTGTAACTATTTCTTATGTGCTGTGGGGCTAAATAAACTGCTCTGCTTCAAATGAAAATGTGTAGCTACTGGAAAGCCTTTCTCCCAGTCTCTCATTCTCGCTTTCCGAATTTGTGACCTATCAATTTCAAAAACCTATTCTATTCCAGTTTGTCCTTAAAGACTCCTAAAATGGAACACAGTACTTTACTCACAGCACCTTTTTCTTCAAAACTTAAATTTATTCTTTTAACTGACAATGCAATGGGAGTAGTAAAACTCAGAATCTCCTCAACTGCTAGTAAGATCTAGAAAGTCTAGATAAAAATTCATAAAAATCTGTCACTGTAACTGAAGCTGACAAATGGTGCTTCAAAAACTGAACACCTAAATGCAAAAGAAATGAACTTGGAACCCTAATTCACACCATATAAAAAATTATCACAAACTGGGTTATAGAACTAAGAGCTAAAACTCTGAAACACTTAGAAGAAAACATACAGGTAAATCCTTATAATCTTGGATTAGGCAATGGTTTCATAGATAAGCCACCAAAAGCACAAAAAACAACAACAACTAAAACTGAGATCATAAAAATGTAAAAACTTTTTTCATTTCAAAAGACACCATCAAGAAAGTGAGGAGATAACCCACAGGACAAAATGTTTGTGAATCACAGATCTGAATCATATTATTTGCATCTAGAATATATTAAGACTACAACTCAGTAAAAAACAAGCCAATTTTGAAATCTGAACAGATACTCCAAAGAGTAATACACAGACGGCCAAGAAGAATATGAAAATACGTTCAACATCATCAGAGATCAGAGAAATGCAGAACGAAATCACAAAGAGATACTACTTCACACCCATTAGGATGGCAATCAACAGAAGAGTAGCAGTAAGGGTTGGCAAGGATATGAGAAAGATGAGGAATTGAAACCTCATTCACTGCTGCTGGAAATCAAAACGATGCAGTCCTTTGGAAAACAGGCCGGCAGTTCCTCAGTTATTAGCATTTCATTAATGAATTAACAGGATTTTTAAAAACATTTAGTATAAAACTGACAAGTATCATTTTATTTCACAAGAATGAAAAACAGATCCGGACATGTTTCCTTCGCGCGCGCGCGCGCGCGCGCGCGCGTGTGTGTGTGTGTGTGTGTGTGTGTGTGTGTGTGTGTGTGTGTGTGTGTGTGTGTGTGTGTGTGTGTGTGTGTGTGTGTGTGTCAATGATTACTAACAAGTTACTGTCATGATTCACTAACAAACCAATTAAAATAGCTCACTAATTTATTCAATTCCCAGGTTTTCAAATTTTCAAGTAAAAAATTACCTTCCAGCCATGCGCGGTGGCTCACACCTATAATCCCAGCACTTTGGAAAGCCAAGGTGGACAGATCATGAAGTCAGGAGATCGAGACCATCCTGGCTAACATGGTGAAATCCCATCTCTACTAAAAATACAAAAAAAATTAGTTGGGTTCGGCAGCAAGCGCCTGTAATCCCAGCTAGTCTGGAGGCTGAGGCAGGAGAATCGCTTGAAGCTTGCAGTGAGCCAAGATCGCGCCACCGCCCTCCAGCCTGGGCAACAGAGCAAGACTCCACCTCAAAAAAAAAAAAAAATACCCTCCAAACTGACAAGGATTTTATACTTCAAATAGTAAGCTGGGGAAGGAATGACTTTTAATCAAATTATGGAATGGGCTACTAATCAGTATTAGCAAATAAAGCTGACAGAGATACCACATTTCTTTTAATTTTGCTTTTAATTTTTTGGATTACATAGTAGGTACATATATTTATGAAGTACATGTGACATTTTGATACAGGCATGCATGCGTAATAAAAAATATGAAACACTTCATAAAAGTGTGTGTCATCCTTATGCAGGGGTCATGCTAATCTTTGTATCACTCCAATTTTAACATACGTGCTGCCAAAGTGAACATTAGTTGCCGCATTGTTTAAAAGGTAGTCATTAACTAGAAATGCCTCTCTCAAAACAAGACCTGTGAAAGCACAGGCTGCTGGGTCCCACCCCGCTTTCTGACTCAATGGCTAGGTATGGGATTCAGCCAAGAATCTGCACTTTCAACAAGTTAGGAGGAGATGTTGATGCTTCCAAGGACCATGCTTTGAGAACTACTATACTATCCTGGATCATCTAACACAATATTCTTTTCAAGACAAAAAAGGGGTAATATTAACGATCCAATCATTTGTCAAGTATCATTTACCAGATACATCAGAGAAGCTTTAAATCATCAGGACTTTCCCAGGGTTGCTTGCTCCAATTAATGCATCTTCTACTAATACGCCCATAAGATGCCCTTCAAGTCCTGCATCCATGAAGCCTTCTGACTCCTCCAGCTAGAAACAACTGCATATTCCTTTGAACCTAAGTCATCACTTGCACCATAAAAAGATGACTGCCAACTTGTAGGACTTGTTTAGCTACTCATATTGAAGACTTTCTTACCAACTAACTAAGTTCCATGGTAGCTTACTGAGGGCATTTTCATATTCCTCACAATTCTTGACACTGGCTCTCCATAAATATCCAATAAGTATGTCTTCAGTAAATAATTAAAATCAATGTAGCCTTGATTTCACCCCCTTTTCAGTAAAAAAAGAAAAAGGCACAAATCAAGCTATTACAGAGAAATGAAGTCCAAATCAAAGCCTTTTCCAATGACTGTACATGATGTTCAATTACAATATACAGCCATATAAGTTTAGGCTTAAGGAATAAGAACATTAGAATGGCAGTTTCGGCAAAAACAATATAACTCTTCAGTTGGTCAACTAACCTACAGTTCTCCTCTCACGAAATGCATTCAACAATACAGAAGTTGGATTGTTTTAAAGAGTAATTGTCCGGGCCGGGTGCAGTGGTTTACGCCTGTAATCCCAGCACTTTGGGAGGCCGATGTGGGCAGATCACGAGGTCAGGAGTTCAGGACCAGTCTGGTTAATATGGTGAAACCCCATTTCTACTAAAAATAGAAAAATTAGCTGGGCATGGTGGCGCACACCTAAAGTCCCAGCTACTCAGAAGGTTGAGGCAGGAGAATCACTTGAACACAGGAGGCGGAGGTTGCAGTGAGCCGAGATCGCGCCACTGCACTCCAGCCTGCTGGGCAACAGAGCAAGATTCTACCTAAAAAAAAAAAAAAAAAAAAAAAAAAAAAGGAGTGTGTCATAGATTATAATCAGTGTGGAACCTGCTGCCCAAGTATATTTTCTATAACGTATTATCTACATTAAAAAAAAAACCTTTGTGTATGGTATATAACTCAACATGCTGCCACCTGACCCACATACAGAAGCTCAACTGGTGTATCTCGTTCCCACCAAGTCCCTTGAGTCATTTCTTTTTATGGTGTCTCCAACATCATAGAAAACAGCACAGAATTCTGCAACATCCTAAAAGTGTTTCAAATTATCTGTAACTCTTATTAAAAATTCTTCTATGACATTCTTTATAACTTCTTCTATTATCCTTTCATCTGTCTGCCCTTTATAGGCTGTGAAGGGGGGGGGGGGAACCACAGGGGACCTAATGTTATTTATCTCCAAAACCTAAAACCAGTACCTGGTATATAGTAGGTACTCAAGGAACACTTTTCAATCCAATCGCTGTTGCTACTTGCTATCTTGTATACTATTCTTCACACAGCTCATTAGACTATGAGTATCAGTATCTGACAATTTAGCAAGAACTGAGACCTGCAGCAGCTCCAGAAACTCATAAGAAAAACGTACCAAATATGCAGATGTGTTTAACCTATGAGGGACCTGAAGGTCAGAAGAGACAATGAAGAAGTCACTGAAACACTAATTAAGTCACCTGAAGGAGTTTGGGAGGTTTTTTTGTTTTTTAAACATATACATGCAGTTCTCATTTTAGATGACAGTGTGGGACTGCAAAAATAATTTGAAACTGAACAAAGTGCTCTTTTTTTTTTTTTTTTTTTTT